AGGCAGCATATTGTGATCACCTGTAAAATGGTCATAAATTCTTTGCAGGTTTCCACTTCACAAAATGAGGCTGGGATCTTGGCACACCAACAGCCCTGGCCCGGAGACACAGCAACTGGCCCCAGGTGGCACCACAGCACTGGAGATCCCTCTGGGCCCCAATTTCACTGGGGCACCACAGATGAAGCAGGTGCAGCCTCCCCACCTACTCCAGATGGAATCCCGGAGACCAAGAGATTCCACAAGCAAGACCCAGGTATGCGGGATCCAGGACTAAATCTCCAGGCCGCATGGCAGCGGGGGTGCCGGGCTGTCCCTCCAGCCTCTGTCGGCCCCATGGCCTAGCTGTCATGCCCACAAGCTTCCACCGGGTGCCATCTTGGCGCACCAACAGCCCTGGTCCAGAGCCTCCCAACTGAATCCCAAAATGGATTAGTGCCCTACAGATATGTCTCTGGAACTCAAACATCTACAATCTAGGATCCCAGAAGTGCTGCCGTTTCGCAGCCGCGCGAACTCTCACGATAGTCAAAATGAGCAATGGAAAATAAATGATCTAGCGTCTGCCCCTGGCAGGCAGGCTTGAATGGTCGTGGGGAAATTCGGGCAAAACATAATGCCCGAAAGTAGAGAGAGAGTTTTGGGGAAATTGTCTGCCATAGAGGCAGGGTGAGTACTGGGAGGGAGGGTAAGGGAGGATACTGGGGACACTGGTGGTGGAGAATGTGCACTGGTGGAGGATGGGTGTTCATTCATTGTATGGATGAATCTCAAACATGAAAGCTTCGTAACTGTATCTCACGGTGATTCAATACAATTAAAAAAAAGAAATGAGGCTGGGGTGGAAAAGAAAGTACAGGGGTTAAGCGCATGATTTTGTGTGTCCGTAGCCCCAGTTCAGTCCCTAACACACATGGTCCCCCAAATATCACAGGGTGTCGGCCTGGAGGCTCTGGGAAGGCTAGCAGGGCCTGAGCACCTTGGGCCCTTGCTTGGGATACTTGGTCCAGTTGGCCAAAAATAGCTGGGGGTGGTTCCCAGACCCCCTTATGGGGGACCCCCAATGTCCACAAAAGAAAGGCTCATTTTCCTACCCCTCAATGTCAATGACCATTTTGACTTACTTGTGACAAACACCATGTGGGCAGAGTGACATTCTACACATTTCAAACCTAGGTCTCAAGAGGTCTTGTGGGAGCTGGCAAGATCACTCATGTGGGTGCAGAGGTGCAAGGCTCTCAATTCAAGCTTTGGCATACCATGAGGCCCCCTAGCACTGCCACCTGAGACCCAGGAATCCACGAGCACCACAGCTGGGAGTACTTGCCCAGTCAGTCTGGGCAGTGCTGAACTCTGCCATGAAGGGTGTCGCGCCCTCAGCCTGGGGGGATGTGGTATCCAGAGGTCTAGTCGCTTTTATTCTCTCCCCTGGGAATACAGCAAAGCTGAGCCCGTCAGCTGGGCGATGAGAGGGCCCATGGGGAGAGGTCCCAGCTGTGCTGTCTTCCCAGCAGAGCTACAGTGTCAGCTGAGCAAAACTGAGCCCAGCACCCCCCCCCCCCCCAAAACCTTCCCTGCCAAGCAGGAAGAAAGCCCAGACCTCAGAACCAGGAGCTGACTAAATGGTTCTTTAGTTCAGCCCTGAGTGTTCGCTTAGTACACATTTTGTTGTTATTGTTGCTATATTGCAATAGTTAAATGATACATACACAGCCTGAAGCAAGAGGGAAGCGGGATATATGAACCCACTATGTTCCACAGGTTTCTGACTCAAAGAGGTGTACTGTGTGTGAGGGAGGGGGGCAAGGAGGGGGGTGCAAGAGGGAGGGCCTTCCAAACATTGCGAAGAGTAGCCCCTGAGCACAGATAGGTGTGGCTCAATCCCCTTTCCACCTCATCTCTCCCCCAAAAGAAATGGTGGGGACAGAAGCCAGAGAGGGCTGGAAAGGGAGGATGAACAGAAGTTCATTTCTAGAGAGTAAGGGTCAACACAGGGGCAACGGAATCACAGAATTTGACTTTTAATATCTGTGTACTACATGCTTGTCTGAATTCTAACAGGTTCCTGCTGAAGACTGTAATTTTAAAAATTAATACTTAACGTTTAAAAAAACTAGTGGGGCTGGAGTGACAGCACAGCGGGTAGGGCATTTGCCTTGCACATGGCCGACCCGGGTTTGATTCCCAGCATCCCATATGGTCCCCCAAGCACCGCCAGGAGTAATTCCTGAGTGCATGAGTCAGGAGTAACCCCTGTGCATTGCTGGGTGTGACCCAAAAAGAAAAAAAAAACTAAGTAGTAACTAGAAGATGGAGGTGGTGGGAATGGACCTGGAGGGCCACTAAATCAGATGTATCTGAATCATCTGGGAAATATGACACAAATAGTGGTGCCAGATATGGGAGAAAGCTTAACGGACTCAGCGCATGCCTTGCCAACAAGAGGCCGGGGTCTCAGCCCCTGGCACTGCGTGGTCCCTTGAGAAATGCTGAGAGAGACTCAGGAGCACCAAGTCAGGAGCAGTCCCCAAGAGCTCTCAGGTATGTCCCAGAAAGAGCCCCCAACTTCCCGAGGAGAGAATAAAATCATAGTAAGTGATTCCAAGGTTCCACACCTGGAGATTCTGACTCAGTTTGGAAAGGGGCCAGGGAAACGGTTTCCGTCACACAGATCCCCAGGCGCTGAGGTTGCAGAGGTAAGAAGCAAAAAATTCTGAGGCTAGAACCCCAGGAAATGTCTTTTCTTGCAGACACATTTGCAATATTTATTTGAAAACATCAGTAAAGCCACCTTTTAAATGATGTCTCAGGACGACTGTTAAGCCCTTTCTATGTATTGCCTAATCTTATACTCATAATATTTCCTCATTTTACTGGTGAAAAAACCCAAAGCCTTGAAAAGGAAGGGAATTTGTTCAAGGTTAGCTACATAACGACAGTGTTTGAATCCACGTTGTCTAATTCCAAAGTTGTGCAGGTTTTTTTTTTTTTTGGCCTTTCCCTGCGTATATCCCACCTGGGTTTGATCCCTGGCATCCCATCTGGCCCCCACTGCCCACCACCTGAGCACAGCCAGGAGTAAGCCCTAAACCCTGACAAGTGTGACACCCACCCCCTCCTCAAAAAAAAAAAAGCTTAGTTAATATAGGATAGGGAGACAGAACATTGGCATGGCCCTGTCAGGCCCCCAGTAGTACTGGGATGGCCCTGGTGGTCCCCTAGCAATGCCAGGCCAGGCACCCCCGCCCCCCAACCACTGGGTCTGCTCCCTCACTGGGAGTGGACCCTACCCCCTGCTCACTATTGTGAAGGCCAAGAAAAACTGAGTTATAACCATATAGATTGGGGGAGGGCAGTATTCAGGGCTTACTCCCGGTACTGTTCTCAGGAATCATGTCTAGTGGGGTCCAAAAATGGAATTTGGGCCACAGCATGCAAGGCAAATGAATGCATTTCCCACTGGACTAGCTCTGCTGCCTCACCATACAGAATCATGAATTAAAAACTTTCCCCAACATATGTACTTATTAGACCCATGGTGGATGCCATCCTTCGATTCTTCTAGAATCTAGACAATGAGCTCACTGGGGTCAAGGGACAGTAATAAAGTCTTTTTGTTTCCTATTGCCAGAGCTGGGCAGAGTTTGCATTCAGTAGGATTCCTTCCGGATGGAGCGAACGAGCGTGTGATTTGAGATCTGAATAGAGGTTTCGATGTTTGGTTATTCTGACTGAAATACTGCCCTGGTTCTGGAGTTCCTCTCCCGAGAGTTCCTTTCCAGAGGGCAAGTTCACGGGAACCACGAGATGGCCAGCAAGCAGATGCCCAGGGCTGGGCCAGGAGGGTTTGATGAAGTTCGAATCTACCAATTCGGACAAACCAATTTGGACAAAGGCTGTGACAGCAGAGGATGAGAAGAACCTGTTGCGCAGTCCCCTCCAGCAGGGAGACCGCGCTGGGTGCGGGTCTCAGGAGGCCAGGGTGGAGGCTGGAGGCGAGATGGGGCAAGAGAGTCAGCGGCCCGGAGGCCACGGGGGACCGCGTGGGGCGAGGAGCGGTCCTTAGGGAATCAGGCTGGGGCAGGAGGCGGCCAGTGCCCCGAATCTGGGAAAGCAGGACCATCACAAAGGTAGGAAGGGTTTGGACAGCATGAAAAGAAGGCCATGGGCAAGGAAGAGAGCAAGTGAGGGCTAATGAAGTTTCCCTGCCAGTTCTCAACAATTAGGGCCAGGATGTGAACACTTTAGATTTCTGAGCTCCACAAGGCGCTGGAAACTGGGGGAGGGGGGCGGAGGAAAAGAAAAGAGGGAAAAGAAAAAAGAAAATATTCCAAACAACCCAAACCTACTATCATCATGACTCCAGGTCCAAAAGAAGGGGGCTGTCCATGAAAACTCTCTCTCCTGTCTCTGAAAGGGCATGATCTCAAAATAAATTGAGTTTCACGACCAACTCATTCCAACTGGTTCTTAGTTGCGCTCCTTTCGCCGGGAAGGATGATTCCTTCCTGCAGGACGAGCGCGTGGGGAGCGCGGCTCCAAGCCGCCCACGCCCGCAGCCCGCTCCGCATCCCCCCCTTGGGCGCCCGGAGCCTGGCAACCCTCTCGGTGCGGGCACCTCGGGCCACAAAGTGCCGGCGCCGGCCGCGAGCGCGCCGGGTTGCTGGCCGGGAGCTGCCTCTCGCCCCTCGCGCCTCCCCTCGACCCCCAAGCCATCTCCTCGGAGGCCCGGAGGGGCGCAGCCCGGGTCGGGGCGCAGCGCGCACGGGACGCCCTCCCGCGCCCCACCCACCGCGGCGCGCCCCGCCCCGCCGCCCCAGCCCGCTCCATCGCTCGGACCCGGAGCCCAGCCGCACCGCCCGGCGCCCGGAGGGATGGTGGTGGGGGGGGGATCTGGACGCCAGGACCCCCGCCGCTGGGCTCCGTCCCGGCCTCTGCTCGCCGGCGCCGTCCGCGCTCCCCGTGGGCGCCCCGCAGCCCCCCGCGGGCGGCCGCCCTACCTGTCGTAGCTCCAGCGGCTGTAGGACAGGGTGCGGTGGCTGCTGACGCCCTCCATCGCCGCCTCCCCGCTCGGCTCGGGGCTCGGCGGGCGGCGGGGCGCGGGCGGAGGACTGTACCATTCGCCCCCCCGGAGGGGGGACCCTCCCCCGCCCGCGGCTCTGCCAATAGCGCGGACGCGCGGGCTGCGGGGACCCGGGCCCGCGGGGCCCCCTCCCCGGCGCTCCAGTCCCGCGGGGGCGCGGCGACCGCAGCCCCGGCCGCTTATTTATTTATTTCCGAGGTGCGCTCCCCGTCGCCATGGCAACCGCTCAGGCTTTTCCGGCGTCACCCCGGGCGCCGCCGCTTTTAAACGTTCCTGGGATTCGCTCAGTCCCCGGGCCGCTCGCTTGCGGGGGGAGGGGAGTGGAGGGGCGGAGTGGCCGAACACGCCTCCACGCACTCGGGTCCTGCACCAGTGGCCTCTGTTCTGCTGTCCACGCTCCGATCATCAGCTGCCCACCTCCTCGGAAAGGGCCGGCTGCATCTCCCCGTTCCTTTCCCGCCTGCATGCAAGTCCTTACTTGACCGCGGGCATTCCACTCTGCTCCGCTGTCAAGTGTCAGCCTCTGCTCTCCGGGCCCCACCGCTGCCTGTTCCCGCTCTGCGTTTATGCGATTCAGCCTGGTGTCCCCTTCGGGGGTTGCTTGCAACTCTATTTCTTTCTCTTTTTCTTCTTGTACCTTTTGGGCCTCACAGGCGGTACTCAGGGTTTACTCTTGGCTCTGTGCCCAGTGACTACTCCTGGCGGGCCTGGGGGGGACCAACCACAGGGGGTGCCTGGGATCGAACCCGGATCCTGTCCCTCTACTGTCTCCTGCCCCAGAGGAGAGTTTCTAAACGCTTTCACTTCTTGTTCCTTTGTGCTTTTCCTTCATTACAACCCTGGGGTTGGTGGGGAGGTGGGGGTGGGGGTGGCTTTGGGGTCTACACCTAGCTGAGCACAGTTGGAGGCGGAGGGTCCAGAAAGGACTACATGGAGAGGACCCGGTTCCAGAGGCCAGGTTGTGGGGAACAGGGTCCGGAAGGGTGTCAGAACCTTGCCCCTCGCTCCCTTCCCCTCCCCCATCGGGCCTGTTGGCGGTGCGGATTTACAGGTGTAATCTTCTTGCAGAGGTCATGGGAGCCTAAGAACCTTTCAGTTGTAAGAAGTCTGTGCCAATATTGCTGAGATCAGGCCCGGGTGGAGGAGCGCTCCTTAGTGGTAATCCAGGGATTAAGGCCAACTCTTGCACCTAGATTGCAGGTTAACCCGAGTCTTGGGATTCGCAGCTGGCAGATGCACCCGCTATATCCAGGTCCCAGACGTACTTTGGTTCTGCACAGAATCTGATTTGTTTTTTCCACTGATTATATGAACCACATTTACAAAATCAGGGTAGGGGCCAGAGCGATAGTGCAGTGGGCAGGGCGTTAGCCTTCACGCAGCTGACCCAGGTTCAATCCCCAGCATCCCATATGGTCCCCCAAGCGTCGCTAGGAGTAGTTCCTGATTACAGAGGTCAGGAGTATTCCCTGAGCATCACTGGGTGTGACCCAAAAAGGAAAAAAAAAATTGGTGTATTTAGACTGCAGAGATAGCGCAGTGGGTAGGGCGCTTGTTTTGCATGTAGCTCACTCGGAATCCATTCCTGGCACCAGAAATGGTTCCACAGCACCACCAGGAGTCATCCCTGAGTGCAGGGTCAGCAGTTAGCCCTGAGCCCTGTGTGTGTGTGGGGGGGGGTATGTCCCCAAATTGAGAGAGGGAGGGAAAGAGGGAGGGAGGAAGGGGGGGGGGAGAGAGAGAGAGAGAGAGAGAGAGAGAGAGAGAGAGAGAGAGAGAGAGAGAGATTTAATAGATCAAGCTTCTGTCTGTAAATTTTTTTTATTAAAAAATCACTGTGAGATAAAGTTACAAAGTTGTCCATGATTGGCTTTCAGTAATACAATGTTCCAACACCCATCCCTTCACTAGTGTACATTTCCCACGACCAATGCCCCCAATTTCCCTCCTTCCACCCCCCACCCCCAACCCCAGTCTGCCTCTACAGCTGACACTTTTCTTCTCTTTTCTTTTGGTCATTGTGGTTTGCAGTACAGGTACTGTAAAGGTTATCATGTATGTCCTTTTACCTACTTTTAGCACTCAATTCTTGTCCAGTGTGATCATTTCCAACTGTCATTATCCTTGTGGTCCTTTCATCCTAACTGCCCGCTCCCTTCCCCCTTGTGACAAGCTTCCAACTGTGGGCCAGTCCTCCTGTCCCTCATTTCTATTGTCCATGGATAATAGTCTCATACGTGTTTTTATATTCCACAAATGAGTGTAATCATTCTATGTCTGCCCCTGTCCTTCTGACTCTTGACAAGACAGTCTGGCCACAAGATCTGCCTTTAGTTTGGCAGGCAGAGCCAAAGTGTCTGTGCCATGGCAGCCCGTGCTTTCCCGCAGGCCTTGGGCACCAGCAGTGGGCACCTGGAACCTCCCTCACAGTCCCTGGGGGTAAGGAGTTTGCCACCCTTTGCAGTGCAGTAACCAGCATAACCTCTCCAAGTGAACCTGTCCCAGCCAAGTGCCTGCTCCAGCAGTTTGCAGACTGGACTGCTACTGGACCTTGACACTTGCCACCCCAGGGCCACAAAGAGTGAACTGTGACTCCAGAACCAACTGGCTGTGAATAGGTGACTCCAAAAATTTGCTGTCTATGGGTTCCCTGAGTGGAGTTTGGGAACTAGCCACTGCTCCTGACCCAAATGCTATACAATGAACGTCCAAAAATGTCCTTTCGCCAAAGAGCTGGAAGGGCAATAGGGTCCTCAATAGGAGAGGTCCGTGCCTGCAACATCACGTTCCTCCAACTTGTATCAGCACAGAAGCCCTGGGAGACTGGCCTTGCCGTTGCTGCCAACAGCACCCCTCCCCTGGGCTTGCCTTGGAGAGGCTGGTGAAGGCAAACACCCTTGCTCCCCAGCAAACCAGGCCTTAGCAAACACAGGAGTTCCATAGCTGGAACAGCTAATAGCAGGAATGCTGGGCTCCAGACCTCCATCTTCAAATTCTGACACCCTAAAAAGTTCAAATAAGAAGCCCAAGGTGAGGTGTCCTGGGTGCCTGACATGCCCCAGACAGCTGGGAGCATCTGACACACAGAGATGTCCATGAAAGCCACTGAATGGTGGCCTGGCCCTTTCTCAGGTCAGGAGCAGGGCCTGCATTCCTTGGGAGGGGGCTTGTCGCTGTGCTGATGACCGGGGTCACCATTTGTTTTCGGGGTGGTGCTCGTGTACATTTCTGCTCAGGTGCCAGGTGTGGGTCCTGCACTGGGTTATACTGCTGGCACACAGTGGGTTGTGGCCTACTGAAAATCGTACATTGTGATGTCCCCAGGAATCCCAAAGACCATGCTGCTGGGATGGCGTTGGGCATAGGTGGGGACTGAGACTTGTGGCCTCACACCTGCAGGCAGGTGCTCTGTCTCGGAGCTTTCCCCGAGGTCCTAACTGGGATTTTTTTTTTCTTTTTGGGTCACACCCAGTGATACTCAGGGGTTACTGCACTCAGGAATCACTCCTGGTGGTGCTCGGGGAACCATATGGGATGCTGGGAATTGAACCCGGGTCGGCCTCATGCAAGGGAAATGCCCTACCCGCTGTACTAACACTCCAGCCCCCTAATTGGGCTATTTTAATTTAGCTCCTGCTCTGTGCGGCTCTATTGTTCCCTAGCCTTGATATGTGTGCACAGACACTTTGCAGTTTCATGTCTGGGAAACAGGAGGTAGACACTATTCACAAGGAGCAGAATGGGGAGCAGAACGAAGGCCAGCAGGCCAAGAAACTCAGAGACAGAATTCCGCCTACACAGGAAGGCAAAAGCAAGAGAGACCAGGAGAATAAAGGTCCTTCCTGGAAATCCTCAGATACTTCAGAAAAGCACAGTAGACTGGCCCAAAAGAATGATGTGGCTCAGTACTGAACTGCAGCACATGCTTCCAAGGGTGAGGCCCTGGACCCAACCTCCCTCCTAGGATTTGCATTTTGTTTCCTATGGTTTTTGTTTGGGCCACACCTGGCAATACACTCAGGGTTTCAGGAGTCACTCCTGGCATTGCTTGGGGTACTGTATGTAGTTCAGGGCAGGGTCTAACTAGGGTCTGCTGCATGCAAGGCAAGCTCCTTAACCCCTGTAGGATCTCTCCTACAGGGAGATTTGCATTTTAAAGAATATGTAAATTTATAAGGCTTGGAGTTCTCTGAGTGGCCAGTGGTCCCTGAACTTGCATTCTGATTATCCTACAGCACAATGAAATCCCTCAGTAATGCAAGGCCAATCTCTCCAGCATTATTTCTGGGTGAATTCCAACATAAGACCTAGGACCCAGGCTCCACAATAATGAAGAGCAAGAACTGGGAGTATAAGTTTCTGGATAATCAATGCTGGTAGAAAAAACCCTCTGCTGTAATGAAAATGGAAGGAAAACTTCTCTAGACAAAGAGAAGTTTCATAGACTCCAAAGTGAAAGTGGAAAAAAAAGTGGTGCTGGTTAGGACCAAGCACCATGCTTTTACCCATAGATTTACCTTTGGCTGGCTGGCTGGTTCTTTTAGCTTTTGGGCCACCTGCTCAGGGCTTCCTCTCTGGCTGCATGCTCAGGGATGACTTCTGGTGGCGCTCAGGGGAACATATGTGGTACGAGGATGGTAGGCCACATGCAAACAAGTGCTGTACTCGCTCTCTGGCCTTTACCTTCAATCTTCCAACTGCTGTTCCCAGTGCTACCCTATCCTTTTTTTGGGGGGGGGGGGTGGAGGGGCATACCCAGCAATGCTCAGGGGTTACTCCTAGTTCTGCACTTAAAAATCACTGCTGGTAGTGCTTGGGGGACCATGTGGGATGCTGGGGATCAAATACTGGTTGGCCACGTGCAAGGTAGGTGTTCCATCCAGTGTACTGTCACTTCGGGACCATCTAACCCATCTTCTCTCCCAAGCCTGCTCTTAGGTCTGGGCTCAGGAATGACTGTGGCAGTCATAAGGAGACCATATGCAGTGCTTGAACTGGGGACCAGATCTCAGCCTGGGCAAAGCAAGTGCCTTAGCCCTGTATTCTCTCTCTGGCTCCTGCTCAAATACACCTTGCAGGTATAATCAAGTTAGATCATTAGTGAAGCCAAATCCATGATGATTCCTGTTTTCATGTCAGAGAGACTAGGCACAGACACATGAGAAA